CAGCAGCATGCTCATTTGCACACGTTGACCCACTCTGTGACGCGGCACTCCTCGCACAGCACGTAGCAGCACCAGTGGAAGCGGCAGTGGCAGCGCTCACTGCGCGTCTGCCTCAGGATGTTGTGGCCGCGCCCGCAGCACAGCGAACTGCAGCTGTCCATTCCGGGGCTGCTCTTGTTGCAGATGCGCCCCTGAGTGCCCAGAGAGTCCAGGGTCGCCTCCCGCTCGCAGAAGTCAGGCGACTTCTCGAAGTAGACCAGCTCCCGGGAGACTGGCCGCCGGCGTCCCCTTTCTGTTCCCGTTCCCGCTGCCCTCCAGGTCCGGGGGTTGAACACACCGTTGTTCTTGTTCTGGGAGTTTATGAAGATGGCCGAGAGAAACTTGTCGCGGAGCAGCGCCCCCACCAGCCGAAATTCTGGAGACACGTACCAGCAGGTCTTGAACTGGCAGCTGCCCGACGTCCCGTGGCACTTGCACTTCCTCTTCATGTTGTCCGTTACTACCTGTCCGGGGGAATGCAAGCTCCTGATTGGGTAAAACACCGAACACGAGCAGGTACCAAGCTAATTACGAGTTAGAGGGCCACACTCACATTCCGCAAAAGCTGTGCAAACTCTTTAAGGTCTCTCCCTCATTTCTTTCCATTTATACTAAGGCTGAGGCGCCATTCATGGCTCAAAGTCACATCTGCAGACCAGTTTTGTGTCGATCTGATCCAAAGTTGTACTGTAGCTTGACAGCTTATTGGTTAATCTGTCTGGCCATAAATATTGAGACCTTAGCGCGCTGAATGTCACTCCTCACCTGTCGGCCCACTCGGTTATTGTGCATCCGCATGCGGGCGTGAATGTCACGTGGGGATTCCCGGGGGTCCAGCCAGTCACGGGAGAAGCGCTCACCGAATCGGACGTCATGGCTGCAGCCCCCCCACTCCCAGGTGTCCTGCACGGGGGAGATGTCATCTGGGAGAGGGTCTAGAAGGGCTATGGGGTGCGCGGGATTGGGCAAGAGCTCCGAGCGCTGGGACCCCAGCTGGGCGGGCGAGGAGGGTGGTCCGTATGCCCCCCTCAGCGTCTGCAGCTGCAGCTGCGTCAGCTTCAACCGTATTTTGTCGTCGTCTAGGCGGCGCTTGGCGTCACAGCCACACCCTCGCAGCTTCCCCAAGCTGCAGGCCGACGCCACGGAATGAGCCACGCCCGCCGCCAACAGGGACAGTGTGAAGGCGCTCTCACGGAAGCCTGCGAGAGGCGACACGGCACCTTAGATAAGCTCTACAGAGACAAACATTTGTGTTTTTTGACACCTGGATTTTTCACTCAGTTCCTGTTGTTTCAGATTCATTATGCCACTGTTACTCCAAACCAAACTAAAATATCCGCCCCTCTTGTAAGGACGTTTCCTCTATATGAGCCCTCATCTGTCTTCCATTACTCCTCCCACACACCAGTTCCCCATTCCCTTCTCTTCCTAGCTAATTACGTCCTCCTTCACTGCTGCCTCCAGACTGCGGAGCCCCACGGGCCCCGTGACACTCACCCCTGTTGAGGATGGCACTCTGGTGGGGCAGCTTTCCATGACTCTCCAGTGAGGAACAGTTCCACCGCTGATCATGGAGCTGATGCTGGCACTCGTGGAGAGCAACCTGGATGCCCTGGAGTGCAGAGGCCGTCACGTCCGGGCTACGCACGCACAGCCGCATCTGCCGCTTGGTCAGGCCGGCCAGGCGCAGGCACACCGTGTTGGGTGTCAGCACTGGGTCACCTGCCACCTTCAGGCCGAGTATGTCATTACACAGCACCCTGCCCAAATGATCGAAGCGTCAAAGCCAAACTTCGTTGTCATCCCATCATATACCAGTATACAGAGAGACGAAATAGCAATTCTCAGGGTCCACAATGTACGCACAGTGCAAATAAGACAAGTCATTGTGTGCAGACATACAGGTAGCGGGCAATATGCCAGTACGATTAGCTACCATGAAATACACAGACACACATTACAGGCAGTTGAACTGGTCTAACACTCAGTTTAAACATAAGCGTTAGAAGTAGTCTATGCGGTGGAGTATAAATGGTGAACCAACTAGGGTCAAATAACTGTACACTGTCATCATTTTCATGAGTAAAAAACCTGAATAGATTTAAAACACCTTTAGCTTACCTATATCACACACGCAAATATATACCTATATACCATTAAGAAAATGTAATACTAAATAAGAAAACGTAAATTGTCAAATACAAACTGTTGAACTCTGGCGTCGAACGCATATATCCCTGAATAAGCAGGGCAAACGGCCTGTTGTTCCTGAAATATGCACAGAGTTGGCCTGTGACTGCTGGAATGATGACCCATGCTGTCGCCCTGACTGTGCTGTGCTATATTACACTAAAATTATTACCAGCACCCCGTGCTGCTGTCTTAAAGCGAAGGAATGTGCTGAAAGCCGAGTCCCTCACATAATCAGTAGCATAGTACTAGGATTTAATGTACAGTACGCATCAATTCTGCTTTTCGAAACACTGGAGCGCCAGAAGGCACCGCAGTTTAATGCCAGCTTTCTTTGTATATGAGGAAGAGATCAGGTGGTTAAGACAAGCATCTTTGGAAACCGTCCGTGCAGTACATAGATTTTCTACCGTGTGTGTTTCCTCTAGATGCTTCTCTTTGCCGTTACTGGAACAGCTTGCCCAAATCACGGTCTTTTATTGAAGTATAGAAATTCTTCTTTCAGCAGTCTAGAGAAGTTTTTCCCGATTTGAGGAAGGCTTCAATAACTGTTCGATGTGTATGTTTTCGTATTCACACATGAATTTTAAAAGTGATTTTTTTCCCGAGTATAGATTATCTTCGAGTATGTTGGTAAGATGATTTTAAAAATCATTATTGCAATAACATTGGTTCAATTTGCACCGCCGAATCGACTCCTTAAAATGAATTCTTCTCATTTGTAAGGACATTAACGGTATTATTCGATTTCTTCCAAATGAAGGATCCAAACGACAAGACAGCAGGAGACTTAAGATGCATAAACTTAAATGCCATTCAAATACAGCTCCCGTACATTGCATGAACTCCTATGTCTTTAATTATTGTCCATACACATCCAGCGTATATGGTTTGAATTAGAGTATGCGTGTGCCTTTTAGTCTGGATATATGCAATAAGTAGACCACAACAATGATAATAATTTTAGTTATGCCATGATTGTTGCGCTATAATTATAAACAACAGTAATTATGTATGTCTTTGGATAATCTGTACTTGTTACTAGACAGACTAATTTATTATGCGAATAATGAACTAATTAATTACCATAATTATTTTTACACAAACCACTTACAGACCACACACACCCTTTCTTCACTGTTGCATCGGTTCCCCTCTGTCTCAGCTGCGCACAACGTCCGAAACTCTCCACATTTCTCCACTCTTTCACCTTACTTACATGAACGCAGGTGACATGAACGCATTGGCCAAAATCAGGAAGTATTCCCACCGGCACTTAAGTAGTATTTCCATTTCAGTAAGCGTCTGTCTCGCCGTGACATGAAAAAACAGGGTTAGTGGGTAATATTCCCTCTGACTATGAATCGGCAAGACGATGAATCGTTGTTGCGAAAGTTAGATCGTTGTTCCCGAGAAGAAGTAGACAAGAGAAATAAGAGAAAACTGCGTAGGATGGGACGAATACATGACACTGTAGGGGAGGGGGGAGAATAAGGGAGGGGATACACCGCGACCACCGACGGTTGTTCTTGAAGTAGCAAAAGTGTCAGGTAATAGATTTCATTAGATAAATAAAACATATGAACAAAGACAAAAACTACGGTTTCGTAATTCCTTGTAATATTGTTTAAAGTTTGACGTGAACGGCAGTATTTTGAGCAATTGCCGATAATTAATTATGTTTTGAAAATATAACGATTTTGTTTGGTGAATGTTAACAGGACTTCAAATTTATGAAACTACTAAAAAAACATTTTAAAAATGTGTTCAATCCTTCATCTTTCAGTAATGGCTGAGCGACGTGCATGTATTGCCGAGAAGGCGATGGTGGAAAAGTAAAATAATAAGGAAGCATAAAAGGTCAATAGTGGCATGTGGTGTAGGCGAAAAGATGGGCATTTGAATAAAAGAATAAGAGCAGGAGAGCTCCAAAGTTTCAGTCCACGACAGGGAGGCAGCAGCAGGCAAGCGCGCGCTTATCCTCGAGGCGTTGGAACAATACCCAGTCTGGGCGCGTGGTCATCTGTTACCCCCTACCCCTGTGCCCCCAAGTCCTGCCACCACCTCCTCCTCACCGAGCCGATTTTCTATTTAATTTTTTTTCCGACATACTTTCACCCACAATATGTTTAGTCATCGAAACGTTTGAGAGCATTAAAAACAACATTTAAGTAACATTTTTCACAAATGGAACGGCGTTGCTCTTCAAAAGTTAAATGTTTCCAGCATCTTAAAGCAAATCCATGCTTATTCGTTTTGTAAAATATACATGACGTCGCCGTTGGCATCTTAATTTTTGTCTTAACATTATATGGTTATAAAGCAGCGAAGGACTAGAGCAAGTTTCCCTACGTTGTGACTGAGATTGATGCCGAAAGGGAAACAATTGAATGGGTCTATGTTAAATATTAAAAACTGCCAGGTATACTAGTCATACTTTCCGGTATCGTATCTACAAGTTCATTATAACACCTTCCACAAGTTAATCGATCAAAAAAAAATAAAAAAAAATGAAATTGACCACTCCATCTGAAGGAGCTGGCAAATTACGCTGAATTAACGCTGAAGACAGTTAGTGACATCGCCTGTAACAACACACAACATGCAAAAATGCTAATATCGGTATCGTTTTAAAGAAAACGGAAAGCCACTAAATTTGAACATAGTTAAAATTACGTCAGCGATCTGTCTGTCTGCCTCGCCTGAAACAGCGCGCCGTTAAATTACCCCGCTCATCCAGACTTCGAAAACATTCTTGTCCGTGTGAAAATGCAGACGATAGCCTTCGGCTTGATTTCCCCCCTTTCTGTCCTCACTTTCATACAAAGCTGACACGATTCTGAATGATTAGCGTACTGATTCTGTCATCTGTCAACTCATCAGAATTTCATAACGTTGAGGGGGTGTGGCTGTGGGCTTCGCTTTCTCTATGACGGAGGGGGGGCAAAGTCGACATACCCTGCAGTGATATAGAATTAGAGAACCTCCAAGTGAAACCTTCGAGACCTCTTTCTGGGTCCCTGTTCCAGTTTCCATTTATTATAGCACCTCAGATGCAGAAATTTGTTTTACGCCCTCGAGGAAACTTTTGCACATTCCCAGTCCTATTTAAGTGCCTGGAGGCGGTAGTTCCCCGAGTATAATGATGGCCTTATGTTTGTGTCTCATCCAAGGAGCTCCTGCAGCTCTAAAATAACATTCCTCTCAGGCTGGTAATGCGTGACAGGGTAAGGAACGAAGTCGCTTTTTTTGTTGGATACCTCGAGGCTTTTGTACTGGGATAAAACCCATGAAGGAGACTATTTCAGGTTTTCAGTGGGTGCAACACCCCAGGCCAGTGTAGAACTTGCCAGTGACACATATTAATCATTCATGTATTTGTAAGCGGCAAAGGTGAGTGAGTGACTTTCCTCATTTTCTCAGGCTGAGGAACGCGTGCACTTCCACAGAAATGCATATGCGGATGGCCATGTCACTTCCAAACACTGATGTACAACAAAACGTATAAGTAATTTCTGACATGTCAGTTTATCAAATTACTAATTATAGCTCTGTACATTACGTTTTCATTTTTGTTCCCCCAGTAGGGGGAGCGCTTCAGATAGCTGATATTTGCCAGTGAACATTACTATTGTAAGCAGAACATCACTCTTAATTTTGAAGTAATTCCTACTACTTAAAATGTTATTTTGCTGCCCCATGTTTCCATCTTTATGTCACATAGCCTACTTTTGTTCGTTCGCCATCTTTCAGTGACCCTCCTGAATTACTACTGTCCTATGAAAAAAACTTCTTGCTTTGTTTCAACTCGTTATGACGGGCTTAACCCACTTTCAGCTCTCCCTCCAGCTATTCCTAAAAAGAGGGAGTCAGAGGAATGGACTGGCAACGAAGTTTAATAAAATTAAGTTAAAAAACACCCCCATAACCAGCGCGCGCATTCGGACAAGCAGTTTTTCTCTAATCTCCACCCCATTCTTTGAGACCTTTGGCAATGAAAAGTGCATTAGCATGCTGCCTTGGCGTGTATATCTAAGTGGCTTAAAAGTGATTTGAAGTTGATTTGTGTTTAAAAGGCGGCCCTTTAACCGGATTGCCATTCTAATCTGCTCCGTGCTGCATGACTTCTCCAGGAAACCCGTTTGCGTGCTTTCAAGAGCTGGCGAGTAAGCGGAGAACAACAGTCATTAAACACCACGAACAAAAGCGCACTTCCCACGTTTAACCGTGTGCCTAAGCTTCATGAGAACTACACCATTTGCGCGTGCGTGTATGTGTATTTCTGTGTGACATGGAGTGACAATATAGCAATCTTTTTTTTTTTTACCAGCTCCAGTCGGGCTCCAAAAGAAAACCTATACTTCTTAAACCCACCTGAAACATTCGTGCATGGCACGCTATTCCAATCTTACTGAGACTCAAATTATTCCCTTACGGATTTGTATTACACTCATATGAATTAATTAAGCATTATATTTTTCACGAGGAAGATAATATTTCTCTTGAAGAAGATATATTGGCCGGTTTGGTTTATACTGGGAAGTCACTGTCCAGATGCGCTGAGGGAGGTCTGCGAGCCAGATGTGGCTTCCCCCCCCCCCCCCCCCCCCCCCCCCCCCCCCCCTCCCTAGTTCCTCTTTATCTCTTCCAAGGTGTCACATCTCAGCATAGAAACAGTGGACAGTTATGGTCAAAGTTTTAAAGCCACATACATTTCGAATAACGATATATGAATGTGTAACAAGGAACACTGGTTGCTGTTTACAAACTAATAACATTTTGCGTCGTCTGCTTGTTTAGAAATATCTACAGAGTGCTGGACTATGGGAAAGACACGACACAATAAGACCGCGTGATTCGCCTACAAACCAAGTTTGCCACCAACATTACTGGATATTATAATTCACAATTAAAAAAATCTGAATATGAACGTGCGATTTTCGATGTTTATGTGTGAGCGCAAGGGGAAGACGAAATGTACTAATGCAATATGTTATCGAATAATAAAAGAATGCTTTAAGGAATAATAAGGGAAACATTTCAAAGGGTGCACATACATGTTTCTGCTGTCCCCGCAGTTATGATGCGCTCCGTGTTTTGGAATTAGTCTGATCATGCACACCCACTGCTATCTAACTTATAATCTATAGTTTCCTAAAGACAGAATTCAGGAAGATCTATGCAGGAGAGATGAACAGAGGCAATAAGCTTTTTTGTGTGTACCGGACATATTTATCGAGGACTAAAAGGAATTCAATCATTGCAACATGTTCCCATTTAAATATTATCCATGATAGGCACAATGTATTTAGAAGTTTCCATATAGGTTTCATTTGTTTTCTAATGCGCGTTGTCCAGATTTGCTTTCTTTATTCGTTGCGCTCTATGAAGGGAATTAACCTATCCCTTCTACAATCCCATTCAAAAGGAGTAGGAAAAAACAGGGAGATGAGAGCAGCAAATCCCTTTTTTATTCCTCTTGTTGCGCTCAATAAGTGAAGAATGTGTCGCCTATCAGTCATCCAGGGGATCAAGTCTGCTGGACTGTCCCACGCGCTCAATGCGCTCTGCAGAGCATCACTGAGACAGAGAGAGTGAGGAAGACAGCAGCAGCATCCGCAACGGGGACAGCACAGCAGCCAACTCCAGACTGATAGTTCTGTTAAAGAGCAATTATACTCAAATACGAGCGGCTTTCTCATTCGAGATTTCGTTTTGTTTTGTTTTGCGTTATTTATAAGAGCCGACTAGTGAGCTGACGATTACCTGTTCCGACGGGTGTAGCGTAATAGTGGGAACCACGGAAAGTATAGGTTCACGGATATGCGTTTGTGATTTATGGATAAGCATTTACGATTTCCAGTTCCCTGCCAAGCGTCAACTACAGATTTTGAACGTTTTGAAACGGATAAGAAACGAAAAAGAAAAAGCATCATTCGAGTCTGAAAGGGAACTCTTTCAGCTTATTTTACTACTGTGGCATCAAATTCTCACCTCTAAATGAATTACTAGATAAAGTAAATAGGTTGTTGTAGTTTATTTAATAACGAGTGTTCTGTTTCACAGAAGACAGACATCAGTCACGAAGACATAAATTACACTGATATTTTTTTCCAATGTTTACAATTTTATGTTAATTATTTTTGTAGGGGGCGTTGAGAATTGTTCATTATTACGTTAACTTATCTGGTACACATAAAGTCTGATTTTATAAAAGCTTTTCGGAGACACAATGCGGATCCTCGCTTTGATTTTGGGCGTGAAAGCAGCATCCATCCTGCTGGTGTCCTCGCTCCCTGGCACAGGGGCGGTCAACAATAGCGGCCGATGGTGGTGAGTTCAGTTAATAAGTCAAATGATAACTCCTAACCAACCATTCATGTTTACTAAGTACACTGCGCCTTCGCTCTCATGTGGATATTGTCCTATTACCCTAATGGTAAGAATTAGTCTAAACGGTAGGTAAACACCTTGATTATATTTGGCATTGATCAATAAGTGTCAAAATTGTCATTTTGCTTGTTTTCTATTGATGCTTTCTTTTTTGTATGAAATTGCTAATTAAGCATTTGAGATAAGCTATAGGATACTTCTATGGAAATTTACAAACGGTAGGCTATATATAGCACAAACACAAAATTAAAACTGTACACTGAGGCATCTTTTGTAGCTAATAAATTGAAACTTTACACGTAATAATCATGTTTGGTATAGTTTAGCCAAGTGTACACAAGTGGTAACAACACTGAGCGATTACAACAAAACAACTGCAAATATATGCTCATGTGCCAGTATCTAAAATAGTGTGGTGAGTTGATTATGTAGCAGCTTTATAAGATAACTGATGACGACCAGAGGATCACGAGGGATGTCAGTCTAGCGAATGAGAAACCTTGTGATCACTGGCCTATGCTAAGATACTCAATAAATTACAGGGACGCTCAATTGATGCCAACGTTTGTCACTTCACATTATTTATCAAGTTTGCCGCCAGATTATATCAATGATTTTTTTTAGATATAAATTAGTAATTTATCTAAATCAGTTGCACCGCCGGCTTAATAGCAGCGAAAATGACATATATGAAATTCAACAATACGCTGTATACTGTAAGGCAAGAATATACTGTTCCATTTTTTTTAAAGCCTCTTTATTTAACCTCCATGTGTTTATTTATTTATAACAGCTGTGCAATTCCTTTGTGAATTAATTCTCTTTCCTTCTCGCGCTCTGTCTTTCTCTCTTTTTTCCCTCCCCTGTCATTTTGACAGTGTGGCTTGAACACGGGACAGAATTTTTCAGTCCAATGTGGGATAAATTAAATGTGGATTTATTTTATAGCTGTGAGCAATTCCATTCTAGGTCGCGTTCAGGGTTATCCACGTAATACGCAGAACATTTTCAACAGAAGTTGCACTGTATGCATATAAACTGGTTCATCTGACAATGCTTTGTTAATAATTTACAAATTGAGCTGAAACTGGTGACGATCTGAATATTCCGATTAATTGAAATAAGCATGTGCATTAATTCCAAGAATACATTAGAAAAATCTGCATTAAAACCATTTGCCTGTATCATAGTAGAAAGGTTATATCGTGGCCTCAAAAAGACTCGTTAGGCAGTAACGGTTTTGGATTTTTAAATCAGTACTAAACATTACAATTATGCGACTGAATTTCTCGAATTTTTACCATGAGTATGAGACGGCGCGAAAAGACGAGCAACATCGGTAAACATGCCACCAGTAGGCCTATAATAATTTTAAGAATACAGAACTACATAATCGAAATATAGAAATAGAACATCATGTAGGCTTTCATTTTCTGTATGATTTTTATTGTTTGGCTCTGACATAGCTGCATGCTACGCGATTAGTGATGATTCTGGTGGCATTGTAATGCGGCGTTTTTTTGGCACTGTTTACTTAACGGTGTACTTAACAGGTTTAGCTAATTGAGTATGGCCTTCCATACTTATTTAATAGGCCTACACTTACACATGGCCATGAATAAAGGAAAACACGCAAAATATTACATAGCCTAAGTATCGGGAGACATCAATGTTCCTGTTTTACGTTACGGTCATTAGGTAGCCCGTCAGTCAGACATGTAGAGGTTACACGCAGTGACGTAACGAGAAGCGAGATGCTTGACCTCAATTGTTACATATTCAGCTGAATTAATGGCTTAAGTGAAACTGAAACGTTTACGCCGATCTGGGTAAAAGCACCTGTTGGCCAGCGCCGAATTAACGAAACGTTAAAGGGCCGCCTTAAAACAACTGTGTCGGCCTCCAAAACAGATTATCTTTCAGTAGAATAGTAAAAAAAAAATATATATATTAAGAACTTATTTTCTTTTGCCAAAAACCCGTAAAGACAAATTAAAATGTTCTAAGTTGACCTATTTTAAAAATAAAAGTATATGAAGTTAGCCTATTTTTAAAAATATGTCACTACTGGCAACTTTTTTTCTGCATGTGAAACTTCTAGTTATTTCCCCTAAGGCCTTAAAGTGAATCCCATCGTTTATCTTCATCATTTATCAATTATCTTACGTTGCGCAACTTATTTTAAAGTCACGCAACTATAGTTCTTGAGAGGCTATAAAAATTTTGATTATTATTTAAACAAAATATTTTCCCCGAATCATCTTCACCCACACTAACCTATCTCTTGTTTTCCCGTCTGATTTAGGGGCATCGTAAACGTGGCTTCCTCCGCCAATCTCCTTACCAATTCAAAGAGCGTGCAGCTGGTCTTGGACCCGAGCCTGGCGCTGTTGAGCCGCCGTCAGCGGCGCCTCATTCGGCAGAACCCCGGCATTCTGCATGCCATCGCGGCCGGCTTGCACTCGGCCATAAAGGAGTGCAAGTGGCAGTTCCGCAACCGCCGCTGGAACTGCCCGACCACCCACAGTCCCACAATCTTCGGCAAAATTGTCAACCGCGGTTAGTCTCTCTCGCCCCTCGCAGAGCAGAGATAATCATAATGTCCTTTAAAGGGCAAGTTGTTCTCGTTTACATAATGGAGAAGTCTTTATGTGCCCTCCGCTGTTTTGTTTTAAATATTGCCTTAATTTTTGTTGGTTGCCATGGCATAATCTATTCATTAACACTTACGAAAAGCGTGTCCCATCTGAGGTGCTTAACTTAATCTGTGCTTCTGTGACAGGTTGCAGGGAAACTGCATTTGTGTTTGCCATTACAAGTGCGGGGGTCACTCATGCGGTAGCCCGTTCCTGCTCTGAGGGGGCTATTGAATCCTGCACCTGTGATTATCGGCGCCGAGGCCCTGGTGGGCCAGACTGGCACTGGGGCGGCTGTAGCGACAATGTGGACTTTGGCAGGCTGTTCAGCCGCGAGTTCGTGGACTCCAGTGAGAGGGGTAGAGACCTCCGCTACCTCACAAATCTGCACAACAATGAAGCGGGGAGAATGGTGAGAGAACTACAGACGTGTTCTGTGGCAGCTATTCTAATACTGGCCCTCCTTTATAATAGAACCTGCCTTGTTTTCTTGCTGCCATTCATATTCTCTGCCTCTGAACCCTCATCTAGGCAGAACTTGCCTGTCCATCATCTAGTCAAAGCTGAATTACATTGTTTTGATTGGGTGGAGTTTGAGAAGCAGAATCCCGCCCAATCAATTTGTATGTGTTGTGTGCAGACATGATCCTAGATGACGCCTGTCCCTCTGTATACTTTGCCCCCTGCCTCCCCATCCCACCCCAGACCGTGTCCTCAGAGATGCAGCAGGAGTGTAAATGCCACGGCATGTCAGGGTCCTGCACCGTGAGGACCTGCTGGATGAGGCTTCCCAGCTTCAGGGCGGTGGGAGACTTCCTGAAGGACCGCTTCGACGGAGCCTCGCGGGTGGTCTATGCCAATAAGGGCAGCAACCGGGCATCACACCGGGCCGACCCACGGCACCTGCAGCCCGAGAACCCGGCCCACAAACCACCCTCCGTTCGTGATCTGGTGTACTTCGAGAAGTCCCCTAACTTCTGCTCGTACAACGGCAAGATGGGGACAATGGGCACGTCTGGGCGCAGCTGCAACAGCTCATCACCCGCACTGGATGGGTGCGAGCTGCTCTGCTGTGGGCGGGGCTACAGGACACGGACCGAGAGGGTGACGGAAAGGTGCCACTGCACCTTCCATTGGTGCTGCCATGTCAGCTGCCTGAACTGCACCAGTACGCGCACACTGCACCAGTGTCTCTAAGTGGGGCTGGGAGACGTGCTGTGTGGCTCAGGGAGGGCAGATCCGGGGCAGAGGGGACTGGGGAGGTAGGGCAGGTTGGTGTGGAGAACGACAGAGCTTTAAAGGAAGGAGCGATGGAATGAGGAGGGTAGCGAAGGAGGAAGTGTAAGGGGAGGAGAACAGGAAAGCAGGTGTGCAGGGGTATATGGAAAGCGATTGGGGGGGGTGGATGAGGACCAGCACTCATATCAGTTGTGGGGGGGTCACATGTCACAGAGCACTCACCTGGAGGGAAGGGTATAAATGACAAAACTTCTGATAGTGGGGGGGGGGGAGCAATATGCCCCACCCCTGATTTTTAATCCATGGTGTAAGTACTTCTTTTGTTCTTTTTTTTTTGTACAAAGCAGAGGTTCCACTTCAATATGAGTGATAGCAGCAAGAGCGATAGTGTTGAGGCATTATGATGAAGAATAAAATTTATTGAGAGGGCATGGATTTGGAGGGCAGAAAGGAACTGAAGGACTTAGCAGGGGTATCAAAATCCGAGAAAACCACCGGCATGTAAAATAGTCAGAAGGACGAGTCTGTAAAACGCAACTCTTAGATTCTTTGTTTTCTCCTTCTTAGACGGCACAGAATTTTAAAGGTCCTTCCCTCCTTCCCACGGACACGTCGCCTGACACATGTATTTGTGGCCATAGAACCGCAAGCATGGTTTCACATAAAAAGCTGAAAAACTCTTTTCGCGCAGTGGTTATTCGCGAATGTCTCTGCATGTTGTATTCCTTTGCTGCAGATAGACGTCTCGCATAAAAAACATGCGAGAAAAAAAATCAGCGGGCGGGATAGGCTGCCGCTTCTCGATTGCTGCGTTAAGCTATGGGCCTGAGCCAACCACTTATGATTTCCTACTTTCATTTCCCCTCTCATATTTGAGTTGTAATCTTGTTTGCTTCACCCGTGATTTTGCCACAATTTGCAGTATGACACAGATTGGTGATGGCTTTCCCCTTCCAGCAATTTCTAGATAATCTTAGTCTAAGACAAACTAGTGCAAATATAGCAATTAATGGTTTAATTAAAAATTATGTGTAGGTATTCTAACCTGTGTATGTATGCAGGGACTATGACAAGACCATATTTGGAATTCAGTGATGCCAGTTTTTGACGAAGCAGGTCGATCAGACATTTTCCCTTTGCCGATTGCCTCCATCGTGTTGCAATAGGTAGCAGTTTATGCTAAATGTCTCCGGCCATCCCAGGATTCCTGTGGGCCGATGGGTCTGCTGTCATCCAGGCCGGTCCAGCTCACTCAGCACCTCGTCTCCAGTGGACTGACTTCTGGCGCGAATGCTTTGCCACTAAAACGTAAACCATACTGCAAATCAGATGTTGTAAATACATATTTATGCTGCAGCTAAGCTCAACAAAGGCAGTAATTTACCAACAAAACATCGTCATAGCGATTCATTAAGAGAAAGATCAAATCGGAATCACTGATGGGTCAGTTTGATTATGTGCATTGTGCTGATTTGATGTTTCTGGATCTGTCTGCATTTCTTGAAACATTGTTTTGAGCAGGCGAGGTGGGTGTTTCATTGTTCTGAACTGGATATAGTGACTGAGGAACATTTCAGGTACTTTCAGATAATGTTCACATCACTGCTTCCTAGTTCACCTCTGTCACTCTGGATATAATTACCATTACTGTACATAAGATATTTATTATGAATGTCTATATAGCTATAGTTCAGAGCAGTGAAAAAAAAAATATTTTAGTCATTTGTTAAACATTTTCTTGTTAATAGATTTAGTTTTAAAAGGTTGTATTTCTTATAGTATTATAGATCAATAAAGGTTATATTTTCAATTAAGCTGTTGTCTTTAATGCTACTTAATAACCGCATTTCATTATTGGCTTCTCTGTGGTATTTTGTTTGCTTTTAGACAATTTTTGCTTCCTTTCACTTATTTTTATTCACCATCTGCTCTCGTCCTCATCATTTCTGATGCCTCAATGTCACTCCTGAACATGCATCCAGCCAGCAACCCTAACCCTCTCCCCGGCCACATTCCTACCCATAACCCCGCTGTCCCGCGTCTAATTCTGAGGAACAGCGGTCCTGGATGCCGACACACATTTAGGTCCCGCTGTGCGGATTTTACGGTGCTAAGTGTTTCACTTCATTTGCTTAATGCCGGAAAGAAAAAATAAAAAGAGGAATAAATACAGTAATGAATGGCTCCTCTCTCCTGGCTTCCTGGCAGACGGTTCAGACCATGGTTGTCTGGAGGTGCACAGCCCTGGTCCGCGCAGCCGGTCGTGGCGGGCCAGAGGAGCGCAGGGGGTCAATCAGCCACACCGCCACACAGACCGTGAGGAGGTAGCACGCACCCCCATGAGAAACCAGCACTTGCTGGGGCGAGGGGAGAATGGGGAGCAGACTAGGAAAGAAAAGATTAGGGAGAGGTTCGAGAAGAGGGACACGGCAGAGGGGAAAAGAAGAGATGGTAGCTGAGATGAATGGGGGAATTTATGAAGTGAAGAAGAGAGGAGAGAAAGACAGAGCAGGACGACGGAGAGAGATAAGCGATTTGAAATGGATGGACAGGGAGAGAGTGGCGACAACATGTAAACAATGGGGACAAGGGAAGGCACTGCAAACACAGGCAAGGTAGCAAAAGGCAGCAAAAAAGAGAGGAGGCGATTGTGGCAAAGGAGAAACCGACAGGGGTAGAGAGCAAGAGATGTTTGACTTATAACATACCCTCCACAATTATGGTCCAGGGCCAAAAGCACATTGTATTTGATATTAAGTGAAGATATGTTATTATGTATCTAAGTACTCGGTGCTGAAAGAGATACAGAGAGAGAGAGAGAGATGGGAAAGTGGACTGGCCAGAACCAGAGAGGAGCATGACGGACTGTGCAGACAAGTCCAAGATAATGGATAGATATGAGAGGAATATGGAAAGAGGAATAATACAGAGGAGAAAAACAGAGTGAGCCCCAAAAAAGGAAAAACTGGAGAGTTGGAATGCCAAAAAAGGGAGAGAGAGAGAGAGAGAGAGAGAGAGAGACAAGGTTGAATTCTCAGGAGTGAGAGGCGGGACAGAGAGGCGGGGATCCATCCTTGTGGGAGTGCCAAGGAGTCAGTGATAATTAGCTCAATTAGTGACAAAGGCAGTGTAATAAATAGTGACTTAGTGTCTGGGCCCCCGCCGGCCCCTCCCACACAGCCTGCTCTGAGGCCCAGGCCTGACGGACAATTCATTAAACCGACAAAATACCCCACCGTCCAGGCGTGACGCTGCGAGTTAGCCCCCCACCGGCCTGCGCCATTGTTCTAATTGTCTGGGTTGGAGTCACTTTCTGCCACCCCCCCTCTTATACCCCTCCCATGCTCTCTCTTTTCAAAAAAAAAAAAAAAAA